ATGTTAGAGACCTGATCATTATCTTAATTTTGAGTGAAATATTTCTTCTTTTTTATAATGCAGTTTATTTTTGCTATGTTCCATCTTGGAATTTCATGATTAGCTCTCATTGCTTATACACTGGTTGCTTTCACTGCTAAGACTCAGGCCTCAAAGGCAGGCTAATTACCACAGTTTCTAGTACAATTTGAACTATACAGAAAAACAGTATTCTAGTTTGGTTTTGCTGGAATTAAATTAGCTATTTATCTGACTTTAACTATTTTGTTCTTTGCTCAAAATAGAGTGTCTTAAAAAAAGTCTACAGCTCTTTATTGGGGTATATTAAAAACAACAACAACAAAAACTCTCTCTTCCAGCTTGCACTACTTCTAATTTAACTTGTTTTTTCTTATGTAACTATATGATTATTTAGAATTTTTTTTAGCTTTAATTAACAAAAAATACAACTCAAATACAGAAGTTATTTGAACAATAAGCATAATTTAACTCATATAGTAAGAAGTCTAGGGACACAGTGCCTCCGGGGCTTATCTATCTGGTGGATGGAAGGCATTATTAAGATCCAGATATTTTCCATTTTTTTCCTTCTGCCATCTTCCATAAGGTGGCTACTCTTCTCATTGCTAGATGATGGCTTTAGGAGCTTCAGGTCTCAAATCTTCAACATCTTTATCTACAGGCAGAAAACAACCCAATCTTCAACTGTGTCTCCTTCATCAGCAAAAACACCTTCCTAAGCAGCTCCCTAGAAGATACTTCCTCATATCTTGATGGAAATAATTTTTTACAGACTCATTCATAAATTAGCCACTTGTAAGAGAAATAGGCTGCCATAATTGGCTTAGTTCTCAACCCTGCCTGCACATAAACTATGTGGGCAACTTAGAAACAAAAACCGGAAAACCATAACAACACATCAAACGAAATTAGAATATCTGACAGGGACCTGTGGTTATATGTATATTTAACCAAGCGATTTATCTTGCTTTAACTATTTTGTTCTTTGCTCAAAATAGAATTTTGTGCTGACAAATGTGAAGAATCATTGGCTTAGATTTATCTAAGTTCAAATTCCAGGCCATAGGGATAAGGAGGGACCAAGCCTTCTAGTGGCCTTTTGATACCTAAACAAAATGAGGATCTTATATTTGGGAGAAAGGACAACTGATGGGCACGTGCTCTGTGCAGCTGGTGGCCATTTCGGGGGCTGGAAATTGAACTGTCTCCTTAGCTGTATAAAGGAAAAAGCCGATGCGTATGTAGATGTATACCATCACTGTGGCTAACCTGGAAAAGATAGCTTTATTTTTCTACAGTACACACTTAGAGTCAGAGTACAAAGTTATGGTGAATCCAAGCTTTTATTTCTATTCTGAATGGCACCTATACTGCTCTATTTCGATTGAGCAAAGGTAATTTAAAAAATGCCCGGGAGTGATGGCTCAAACTTGTAATCCCAGCCCATTGGGAGGATTGCCTGAGCTCAGAGGTTCGAGACCAGCCTAGGCAACTTGGTGAAACCTCATCAGTACTATATAAAATATTAAAATGAGCTGGGCATGGTATCGTGCACCTGTAGTTCCGGGTTCTTGGAAGGCTGAGGTGGAAGGATCATTTCAGCCCAACTAGTCAACACTTGGGTAGTTGTGAGCGTGCCACTGCTGTCCAACCTGGGTGACAGAGTGAGATTCTGACTAAAAGAAAATGCTCTTGATTCCTTTTCATCAGAACTGTAAGGAACAGTACTTTGGTATATAGTGTTCTTTTTATTTTGCAATATCATTTTAAACTTTTTAATTCTTTTCATCTTTATTCAGCTATTTCCCAGTATTGTTCACTAGACTAAGTGCTTTGAGACAAGGAAATGTATTTGTATTCACCACCATGTGCCTGTTGTCAAATATGCATATAGAGTGAGGGCTCAAATATTTGGTGAAGAATTGAACACCAATCTTGCTCTGATAAGACCAGACTAGTCACAAGCCACGCTCACATAGTTGTTTCTCAACCTAGACTGTAGAGATTTCTGGGTTCTTTTCATTTCTGTAGTATATTCTTGACTTATCAACCCCAAAATTCTTTTAACCCTTAGGTGAAACCATATTCTTCTTCTCAAAACTTCCCACTTGTCTCTCATTCAATGCAAAACACAAGCAAGTCAACCGGGAATCACCTCTAAAGCTCTGTGATCTGGAATCCTGGCTTTTCTTTGGCCTCATCACTTACTTTTCTTTCCCTCATTTATTTCATTCCAACCATACTGCCCTCCTTGCTCTCCCTGAACATGCCAAGTATATTCCTAGTTCAGGACATTTACTTGCTGTTCCCTCTGTTCAGGATGCCACCTTTCCCATAAATGGCCATATAGCTCACCCACTCCTCTGCGTCATATCTTTGCCCAAATACCACCTAAACAAGGACACTTCTCTGACCAGTCTATTTAAAACACTCATTTCAAGCCATCTCAGTCTTTCCTTCTTTCTCTGCTTTGTTTGTGTGTGTGTGTTTATCATCATCACCATCTGAAATACCATACATATGCTTTTTTATTGGCCTGAGATATGTCACCCACAAACTTCCAGAAGAGCACAAGCTTTTCAAGAGAGTAAATTAATGTTCATCTTAATTATTTACAGCTAGACCTCTATTGCTGGGAACAGTACTTGGCAGAGTTGCTACTTGATACAGAATTGAGGAATGAACAAATTATCTGTTTTTTATTTTTTAACCTATAAACTAGGGATCTGGGAATAACAATACCTACCCTGCTGTTTTTCTGTGTGCATTTAGTGATAAAGCATATAAATAGCTAGCACAGTTCCCAGCATATGGTAGTTGCTCAACAGGTTACAGCTTTTGTTATTTTTATAATAAGATAAAATTCCAAAACATACTGTTTCACTTAATTTACTAAACATCTATGAATAAGTTACCTTTTACATAAAAGGCGTAAAAGGCACTGTTTGAATATAAAGACAGTGAAGGCATAACCCTTACCCTCCTATGTGTAGCAGATAAAGAGGGGACTATGTTTCATCTTCAGGCACCTCAATTTCTTTTTTTTTAACTTTTAATTTTTTTATTTTGAAGACGTGGGGTACAATTCAGGGTTAGGTATACAAATTTTCATTATGCAGGTACCCTTGTTGATGAGGTGTGCCCCTCTTTTCCAGGCAGATTCCCACCACTGCCAATTCCGCTTCCCTGCCCTGCTCCCGGCAGTTTCCCACTACTGCCAATCCTTTTCTTATAGTCTTACGTTAATTGTTCAAGGTTCGCTTATGAGTGAGAATGTGTGATACTCAGTTCTTTGTTTCTGTGAAAGATCATTCAGTATTATAGACTCTAGGTCCATCCAGATCGCTGTGAAAGTTCATGATTTTGTTCTTCTTTATGGTTGTGTAATATTCTCTTATGTTTATGTACCACATTTTTTTTACCCAGTCCTCATTTGATGGGTAGCACAATTGGTTCTATGTTCTTGCTACTGAGGCACCTCAATTTCTTGAATGAACTAGATTTAAATTTCTAGAGAGTTTCTATATATCACACATGCCAATAGGAAGCCTTTTCAACAACAAAAATGAAATTCACTTGCAAATTCCTCCTCTATAAGAATGGCTTTGAACACTAGAGTAGTGCATTTCTCTTTTTCTAAGTCATAATCTTTCCTAGGAATCTGAACATCTCTAGAAAAGATAGATCACAAACTCACAGACTGCTAATGGATCCAAAGATCCAAATCACCCCCTTTATCTGCACTTTTTGTAACACTCATGTCTCTATATCATGAATATATACATCTATATTTATGTATAAACATTGAGATATAAATCACATACTTTTATTACTAAAGGTATAAGTGTAAAAAACAGAAAATATATTGAACATCAGTGTAATTTATAGTTAGCTTTATCAAATCTGAATATTTTGTCATGTTTGATTAAAATGTTTTTCCTAATAAACTGAATACTACAGATTTCGAATACTCCTATTTTTCTTTCCTAGGTCCTATTCTTCCTTCTCTTTCCCACTAGAGACAAACCTGACTTTGTTGTTTCTCATTGTTATGAGGTTTTTAAAAAGTTTTTAAGTTTTATGACTATTGAATCCTCTGGTTTAAATTACAGATATGTTTTGATTCACCTTCAGACTCACATTTGAATAAAACAAGAAAACCACATAGAACAATCTTCTCTGAAAAAAAATCAGAAAACTTGACTAATTCAGGTTTACATTTCTGAATCGAGTGGCCAGGAGGACCTGAGAGATGGTTATCTCCTCATCAGCAGTTGTCTATTAACTAACTTCAGGGCTGTTTCTTTCATTATATTTCTTATCAGGTTTTTAAAGTTGTCTGCATTTGTGACTGCTGTCCTCTGACCTTGTAATCCATTTGAAATGATTTCTTCTTGGCCTATCTTCTGCTTCATATCTATCTTAATTCATTCAGTTATGAATTCCCGTTTTGACAATTATTCTTCTGTTGAAGAATATGGAAGCAAAGTTGGTACTTTCCCTTTTCACATTGCTACCAGAGACCCATTTAGCAACTTCAAGCAGTGACCGTAAGTTTTCATATTTTTTAAATTGAATGCAGAGAGTAATGCTCTCTCTTTTTTTCCCCCTTAGCATTATTTTATAAGACTGACATTATTTGGAATTGGAAGAAGCCCACACTGCTCTCCTCAGCCTTTAAAAGCTTCCTTTTAAATTGTTAAATTAAACCTTCAGGGATTATAATCCCAAATCGCCTTGTTGATTTGGTATACGTTTTATTCCATCTTTGTCATAAAAAAAAAAACTCAAATCAGGAGTAAGTAATAAATAAAGGGAAAGACCCACAGTTTCACATTTCAAGGCCTATGTGGAGAAAATTAAGTCCAATAACAAAGAATTCTTTTTATACACTTTAATGATTCATCTTATTTTGAGAATAGTTAATGACCATTGGGGAAAGTATGATACTCTCAATAATTTATAGAAATGCTAGATTATAAATGCCACACTATTTATTGAATACTATGGGAATAGACAAATGACAAGTTGGGAAAAATATTCACATATGTAATTTCCTAATACACAGTAGCTCTAACACTTCCTCTCTGGGGTATCAGTTTATTCCCAGAAAATTAATCTGTTTGGTAGCAAACCAATAAATCACTTTGCTGATTTTATTCCCATATAGAATCATATACAGGTTCATTTCAGTTTCAGAGTAGAATCACCAGTAGTCACATATTCTTCCATTCCTATTATGGCCATTAAAAATTGTTAACAGTGCACCACATTATGGATTTTGCAATCCCTTAAAAAGGAAATACAGTCTTGATCCAGATTCATGGTCCTATTGTACAATTTTCTAAAACTTTAAATAGGAAAATGTAGTATATTAATTTTCTTTAATAACAGTTATAATTATGTATTTTCAGAATTTTAGTTTTGATACACTTTGTTGGATGAAATAGTATGGTACCATTTTTATTAGTTTATATTCAAAAGACAGAGAAAAAGATAAATTACCTTAAAGAAATTAAATAGAAAGTTATGGGAAAACATACCAAGGTGATTTTAGAGTCTCCCCGGTTTCTTTGAAAAAAAGAAGTCTTAATTTCACTAAGTGTTCTTGGCAATGTTTACATGTTGTCTCTCTGTTCTTTAATGTGGAACTTGCAGTCATTTAACTATAGACTTTTAGTCTGGCAGAAAACAAATACCTCCTGATGAAATAGCTTTGCTTTCTATCCTGAAATATTTTCTTAAAATTCTGCATTTGGAGGAAAACTATATCTTGTCAAAATGTAAACAGGAATGTGATATCTGTCAAGGACTGAAGATCATCTGATCTTCTTTTATATGGCAGATAAATATGTTCCAGAATACAGGTCACTCCAGAAAGAGGGTGGGCATATAGAACATATCAAATATACTTTAGTAAAATTATGCAACTTTACTAAAGTTATAAAGTTTACAAAATTATTATGCTGATTTTGTGGCAGTACAGTGACTGAAAAATTTCAAAGTTAATGCTAGAACTCAGTGTACCGCAAAGGAAAGATACACACCAACTTTGTTTTAAAAGAAACAATATTTATTAAGAAAGTATATGCTGAATTCTCCTATAGTCTGTGAAGATGGTTTCTTCCATTTCCACAGCACAAGACAACAGCTAAGAGCATCTGGAAAACACTTGCAATGCTTGGGAATGGAGACTTCCTAGGAATAGGAGATGAGATGAAGTGATGTATGCACTAATTTAAACTTTTGGATGCAAAGGCAAGAAAATCTTTTCCTTGGCAATCTAGTTCTTACCTGTATGAGCACTAAAATCTGTCCATGGAATCTCACACCAAGACTGAAGTATTAGGTAATCACTGGATCATTTAAGTTCAGTAGAGCGGAGCATGCTCAACTTAATCACAAGTCAAACCAACAGGCCTTTAGCTATTATATCACATCTGAAATATTTGCATTCTTTATTAATAAAATGGTGCTTACAGAGGGCAGAAATATAACCTTTTCAAGTATTTTATCCCTACTATCTGAAGTACTTTAAACTATAAATTAAAAATAAATTATAAAAACTAGCATAAGATGCATCTTTTCTTACATGACATTGTTGGAAATAAGTTTTTAACGTAGAATTTGCAGTATCACCTGACTTTATATATGATCAACAGTGAAACATGCTAATCATAAAAATAGCTTTTACAAATATACATTTGTATATAGTGTCTCCCTTACCATTCATAAATGTCTTTCACATTTTAAGACTTAAAAAAAACATAATTAGCAAAGGGGAAAACACATTTACAATTTAAACCATAAAAACCTGACAATTATACAGCTTAGAACATAGAAGAAATGGAATTTCTAAAACTGAGCAATACTGTCCATTTTCTTTTTTTGAGTTTTTATACAAATTGAACCAAAGATGCTGCTATCCAGTAAGAAACCTCCTTTCACATTTCGGGGGTTGTCACAGTTTCTCTTTTCTGTGTTGCGGCATCATACGTACTTCAGATCACTTTATCTGTAGAAACTGAGAAAAGAAAAAATGTTTTAAAATACAAACATTCGTGTTTCATTGTTGGTAGTATGCATATACTATATGTAAGCTAGACTGTAAGGTTAGATAAAGAGAAAGATAATGGAAGAATTGGATATTTAGGACAATACTATTTATAGTACGTTCTTAGATTCTTTGTTCTAGGCAATCCTAAAATTATTTGCTTTCATAGCATGCTATAATTTTTTTTTTATTTAGCTATTTTACTGTCTGAGATCAGAAATTATTTTTCAGCCTGAGTGCTTGTCTAAGACAGAGGGGAACCACTTAAAGTTCTAGAATAGGGAAAAATATTTGAATATCTCATGAAACTTTCTGCTTACTACAAAGAGTGACCATAGGATACTTCTCCCTCTAAGAAGCTTTGAACAGTGCAATCCAAAGTCTTATGTATCCAGAATAGGAGAAAAAGCCAATACAGTTCTCTAATCTGAGTCACACAAACTTGGCTACAAAAGAAGAAAGTCACAAACAGTGGAAGACTTCATGGTGTAACCATGAGTCTGAAATGTCATATGAGCCTAAATTCAATTGGATGAAGAATTGAGTTGGGAAATTAAGTATGGTTATGAAGATAAAATAATGTAAGAGTCCATCAGTGGAGAATTCTATCACATCCTTGGTCTTTACATTTATATAGAAAAACGTAATTACAATTATTGCTATACCATCAATTTCAAAAGTGTTTGGATATAGATGGAAAATCTCTGTATTAAGAGTCAAAGACATGCAAATCAAGGTGTCAGTGTAGATGGGACATGTTGATCTTCTCTGAGTAGCCACAGAATTAGATAACTTGACCTTTTATTAAAATTTTGAAGCCCATAATATAAAGATTATGGGAAAAAAAAAAAAAACTGAGCATGGCAGATGGGTTGCTCTGGATGTCTGCAGTCCCAGAGTTCATACCTTGCCAAGATTACTATTTGAAAGGTAATCAGTGAACCAGGATGATGATTTATCTTCCTTTATGCTCTGTATCTTTCATACTCATAAATACATACATTTAAATAATTTTAGTTAACTGGGATGCTTTCTTCCTTAGTGAATACATACTTTTTAATTCTAGGAGGATTAGAATTAAATATAAAATGTTAGCAAGAATAAAAACTATAGTACAAATATTTTTGTGTTAAGAAAAAAATCTGTGAACATTTGGTGCCTTAAGTTCTTGTGTTATTTAAGAGAATTTAGCTACTAAAGTAACAGTCTTGTGATTTTATTTTAGAATATACAATTTAAGAATCCATTAAGACATAGAATTTCAGTTTTATGACTTAAAATCTTAATATGTTTGTGAGTGATATTAGAAAGCCTAATAAAATTTTAGATTATTGTAGTGATACATTTAATGTATTAGATTTAATGAAATTTTTCATTCTCAGACTCTATTTGTTAAACCAAAGTACTTAAAAACAGAATATCAAATACATTATTATTAAGTTTACAAATGCCATTTAAAATATTTGAATGTATTTAATTAATTCGTGACAATAATCATTCAAAGGATTTTCAGAAGGATTTTGCAAAATATACTATATTTAGTAATATAATCCTATTAGTAAATAATTAACATTCTTATTTTAAAACCTTAATAAATCCAATCATTTTGTGGTCTGTAAGCATGATAGCTGGGTTTTCATGCTCATTAATGAGATGTGCCTTCCTCAAACCTTGTTACATCAGCACATTCCTACCTGATGTGAAAAAAATAAGAGAAACTTTAATAAATCAGTCAACAAAAAATAAACAAAATAGAATCCCGGTAGTCTTTTCTTATATCTCTAGGAAAGAAACTCTCATGAGTAAGGCACAGGTACATTTTGTGACTATACGAGTGGGGACACAGAAACTACAGAATTTATTTATAAAATTCTTACATTTATTCTTACATGTTTAAACTTCAGTCACTTCAAAGTACTCTCTGTTTGATGCAATACACCGATTGAGACACTTTTCCCACTGCTCAAACATTTTCTGAACTTGTCAGTTTGGATGCCTTTTAGTGGTTCTGCCATTTTTTGTTTCACCTCTTCCACATGTGCAAAAAGCTTCCCTTTGAGGACTTCTTTAATACAGGGAAACACACAGTTGCTGGGGAGAGATCAGGTGAATAGGGAGGGTGGGGCATAGGGGTCATGCCATTTTTGGTCAAAAATGGCATGACCCCTATGAACATTCAGTGCAATGTGGAGAGGTATGTTTTCATGGTGGAAGAACCAGTCACTTGTTTGCCACACGAAAAAATTCACTGAAGTCATATGCAACCTCTCACAACAATGCTAACTGGTACACTGATGCCAGTGTGTTCCTAGAACACTTGGTTGGTGGGGGAAGCCTGTACTACAAGGGGCCTGCCCTCCAAAAATATAATTCTGTTTCTTTGAGTTCCCCCTCATATTTTGATATATCCTGTCTCTGTCCCTCACTCCCTCTTTCTTTTTCTCCTCCTTCTCTTCTTCCTTACCAAGTCTCGTCTCTATACTGATCAAACACATACATATTTTAAAGAATAAAAACATTATTCAAATGTATTTCCCATACATTTTCAAGTTGTGCTTATGTACATGGGAATAGTCAGTTAGCCTTTAAAGCACAAAGATTTCTTATACAAAATAAGCATGCTACTTTTTATGTGGTGGAAAGGAAGTTTTGTACATAACCTGTATGTATATATCAAAAATTATCAGTTATCAATATGAAAATGAATAACTTAAATACAATTAAATCAACCTATAGACTGATACTGATATTTGAGAATAAGGCATGGCAAATTTTGAGTTTTGATTAATAGCACTTGTGTGCCAGAAAAAATAAGACTATTTATAGGATTGCAATTGCCTCTATGCCTTCATTGATTACTTTCTTATTACTGATGGAAAACGCTGAAAATGCTACAACTCCTGTAAAGTTTACTAATCATAGTGTTTTTCCAGGTTAAATAAGTCATGGCAGATGACATTAATTTAGAATTTTCTTTCACTATCCTGCGCGTTTCAAAGAGGTAATGGTCGTTTAGCAAATATCCACTTTATTAAGAAGAAAAGACAGCCTGTAGATTTTTTTGTGCATAATCCATTACCCCCTCCATCCCCTGTAGAACTGTTTCTTACCTCTTCCTTTCCTTCTTAATTGTAAATGATTACATAAAAATAATTATCCAGGGAAGAAGAAAGGTATGTTTGAAAATAATTTATTGAAGTTTTACTTCTTGCTATAAAGCTTCAAAGCATTTGCCTGTCACTGTTGTAAAACAAGTTTGATTAACTTTGCATTGTGAGGTGTTATTAACCATATGGATGGATACAAGTCATGAATAGAATTCTCTGTATCTAAAAACAAAGGCAAAACATATTCTCATAGTTTTCCATAGAATGTTTGAGAAAAGGCTTGCTGTTGGCTTGTAAAGGCCTGGGAGAAAGAGGGCAAACTACAACATTCTTGCTGCCTTTTTCTTAAGACAGTTGTTTAAGAAGCTGATTGGATTAGTATAATGTAAAACTAATTGTGTTCTCCTCTTGAATAGTGGGTAATTTATCTATTGGCTGTATGGGAGCTTGGATGCTTTTAAAACAAATCCTCTTGATGATGAATGCTTTCTCAACTCTCAATTTCTCCCACTTCTGCAAAGCAACAAAGAGAGCTTCTCAGATGGCATTGGATTGTACTGAACCAAGCAATTTACATCTTTTTGACAACGATGAAAAGGATAGTATTAATCTACAGAGAAAGTACATTTAATTTTAAACCTTATGCATTTTATGTTTGAAATAAAATAGGTACAACAATATGTAGAATAAATACACCTTATTTACAGCTCTACCAAAAGAATCATACTTTTAAATAAGTCTTATGACTTCTTCAGTAGCAGAAGTGCTTGTTATTTTTTAAATAATTATTAATAATTTATAATAATCTAATAATTTATTAGATTTAGAACTAATAAGAAATTAGAGGAACCTAGGTAATCTATATTTTTAGTTAGTATATACAAATGCAAAGAGATGAAAGAAACTATTTGGGTAAGTAAGACCACACAACATTTGACAGAAAAGCAGCCTTTGGAACAGGAATTACCTATATCTATTGCCACCATTTATCATGTTTCTTGAGAAATTGTTCAGCCATTCACTTTTTATAGACAATGTGAATATATTTGACTTTCAAAAATCCTTCATTATAAATAAGATATAATTCCATTCAAATTTTTAAATAACATAAACAAATTGCTAGCATCTACTCTTCATTATAAGTTAAATTTTCCCTTCTATTAATAAACTTTTAGGGACAAAGTTACATGATACTTTTAGGCTAAAAGTATCACATCGCAAAGACTGTAATGGAATGAAAACCAAAATTGGTGGTAACTTATTGGACAAGTTACAAATGAAGGCAACTCCTCCGTCATATAGTTCCTGGAGGCTGAATAGTTTCTCTTTCTTAGTTGATGTCCATTTAAGATGTACAAAGGTGAGTCAGGAACCACAGGAAAGAACAAATGTGTAGTAACCTATGAGGATCTTGGAAAGCTACTCTCAGGTTACCTTCTGAGATTTTAACTTTAAAATCAAAGCTTAAATGATCAGGGAAGAGACTCTGTAATTTTATTTAAGAGATGAAGGTTTCTAGCCCTTTGAGAAATGACTAGAACATAACTGAAGTTTTAAAATCAGCCAAAAAAAGAATGTGTTCATTTTGAAAGATACCTGTTTGGCACTGAAAGTACAGAAAAACAAGAGGGTTTTAGAGGGCAACTTCGTTGTGCTTACCCAAGAACTGTGCCAGGACTAATCTTTGGATACCTTTGTAATCAAGCCCTAGAAGTGAGCCTGGCCTGTGATGGCAGGTAGGCTCCTATTGCGGACACATCAGCAATCTCAGGACACTCAATCGCACAGCCAACTCTGTTCTAAACTGATGCTTCCCAAAGAAAGCTTCTTATTACAATTCCTAGCAATTAGCCTACTGGAAAA